CTACTACTACTACTACTGCCACCACACCACCACCACCACCAGCACCCGACAACAAATAATTGCCACAGCGGAGGAAGAATTCCCACAAAACTATCGGCCCATAGATCACCAAGCAGAATCTCACAACAATCGACACAGCGCTCCTCCTTAATGCGCACAGGAACTTGCGAGCCACGAGCCACATCCTGCAGGATTTGCACGGCATGCACAAGAGCGCGTGCGAGCAAGCTGCCCGGCGAGAAGTGCCTGCACAAATTCCCCATCGAAGTCTTCCTCCGCAAGAATGCCGACAAATGGTTTTCCGGCAGGTGATGTCACCTGGCAGGGGTTCACGAGAGTAGCTCGCTTTCTCACCGCGCTGCGCGCCTTGACGTACACAGCCCAGCTCGACATCATCACCACCTCTCCCGTAAGCCATTCCTGATGAAGCATGGTCAGGAGACTGCAGAAGCACAATTATCAGACTCAAGACCAAGCCGAAAGACACCCTGCTCGGTATCCAGAAAAGCTCTCACGTCTGCCGGCCTTGCAAGCTCTTGCAAGCATTCGCAGCAAGGCATCGGCACCAAAGAGCGTGCCTGCTTGAATCCGCGACGTAACGATCCGGCCGCGCCAGGTCCGCTCCCGATCGCAGCGTGAGGTAAAGCCGGCCTCTTGGAGTTGAATTTCGACTTCTTTCCACTGCTTCGTGATGCTTCGTGCTTCTCCGCCGCTGCTCCGCCTGTGTCTCCATGTTCTCCATGCGGGTCGGGCTCTCCGTGGTCCGCCGCCCTCTAGAATGAGTCAATGGGAGAATTGCATGCCAAAGTCTCCATACACTAACTATGCCCTCCCAACTTGCCTGGCTTCCGGGTTCACGCTCAATATCCTCGCAGAAATCTGATCTCCGGGCTTGTACTTGAACGGCCCCTTCCGTGGAAAACCATCTGCGAACTCCTCCGAGCAAGTGTTGAAAGCATTTTGTGGTATTCTCAACCATCCCATCGGAGCCTCCACTTCCAGGAATGCATAGGTGTCGGCGCAGCCCACATCTACAGAGACGCCCCCAGGGCAGTAAATTTGCACCACCATCCCCTCGACATGCTCGCCGACCTGAAACATGACCAGAGCAGCTTCCACCTTGCAAAGTCTGCAAAAAAAGTGGCAGTGCCTGGAATTTATCCAGTGGACGTCCAGGATGCGCCGAAGCTGCGTGGCGCCGAAGCTTCCCACCGCTGAGCTCCGACCCATGGCGTCGTTGCCAAGCAGCCACGATGCTCAAAGAGGCGAAAGTTGCTCCCTGCCCGCATCTCGCCTTCCCAAGATTTTGAGCAGCGTGTCGAGATCGTGAAGAGCATTCTCAAGTGGCCTTTCCAGCGAAGGTCGCACCGGGCACTCTCAAGGCCCGCTGCACCTGTCAAGGCGGGCCCTTCAGCAGAGACTACATTGCGCCAACCACTGGCCTGCAAGCTGCACTACGACATGCAACGAGATACTACTTGTATGTGACACTACGACACCCTGGAATCACAAACAAGAGACAGGGCGACCATGGAGTCGGATGAAGGGTGCCCTTACAGGCCTGCAAGATGCCAGGCCGTGCTTGGCTGGATGCTGACAGCATCAGCATGCCGCCATAGCACCAGCACCGGACGGGCCGCGGTATCCTCTTGCCGCTGTCTGTTGTTCAATGCTTGTCTCGTGCCGAGTGCAGCGATGCGATGTTGCTTGGCCTTGCTGTCTCGTGCCGACGCATGCAGAGAATCAGCGAAATAGTAAGGTTCCCTTCATGGCACCATCATCCCATGCCGGCACTGACGTTTGCCAGTCTGCTCTGAGGTCTATATTTGATCGCGCATCCATACGCGAAGTCCGAAGTGCATAGTCTCGCTTGCCAATTCGGAGCCTCGCCGCAAGCCTTCCTGTTCAAAGTCACTAGCACAGACCAGTGACAGGCTGCCAGTGTTGCACTTTGGTTCGTTCCCCAGATCGAACCCAGCACAGAGGTCGGCCCTTCGACATCAGCCATCGGCTGCGTTTCCGGACTAAGTTACTAAAACGTGTTCGGCGTGCTTGTGACGCGTGGGCTCCTTTGGTCAATGCTGCGTAACCTGAACCGTATTGTTGCACCGACGACCAAAGCATGCCTTGGTAAATGGACACGTTGCGACTGCATGGGAAGCTGGCGCAACGCCCGAAGGGAGCTAACAGCACTAAGCTCCTGAGCGGATTCGCAGCCAGTTTGTCAGGCCGCCACTGGCTGCCAGGCTGCAGATATCTGCAGATTCTAGACTCTAGACCCAGTGCTAGACCCAGGCCTGTCTATCTCTAGAGACTCTAGAGATCTCGGGGCAGCCAGTATCAAAAATGCAAAATGCACCACCAGTGCGAAGCGATGTTCGGCACCTGCTGGCTCAGTGCAGCTGAATTGTTGCAGTTGCATCGGACATTCTCATACTCCTGGGCTCACAGTCCTCAGTAGCTGGGTGCCGCAGGGGTCCCTCCTTCCCGCGAGATCATCGTAGAGCCACAGACATCAGCTTCTTCCGGCTACAGTAAACGCTCCTCATCCGACACGGTCAATTGCCTTTCTGGCCTGCAGTGTCGTTGCAACATGTCAGGCCAGCGGTCCAAGCTACTGATAGTACGACAAGAACGTATCTCAGCCCATCTGCCTGTGATCTCTGAGTGCACTTCATACGTACAGCGCTTTCCGTTTACAAGAGTTTAGGTTTCGAATGTTTTGGAAAACATGTAGGTAACGCACGTAACGCTGCGTTGACTCAACAGAAGCATGCTTCACTGACCAGGATCCTGCCTGGAGGCCGAACGCCCTGGGCGGCAAGGGAGGTAGCCTCATGAAGAACCAAGAGCACCGGTTCGTCAGCCGTCGGAAACAAATTCGCGTGCTCCAATTTGCCAGGTGACTTGCCTCTCCCAGCCTGGCACAACCAGAAAAGTGTTCGGGATTGACATCGGCGATCCGTTAAAGTCCGATAAAACTTGGCCCGGTTCGGCCCGCATGGAATCTGGATTTGTCGACGGCTTTGGCCCTTCCTCAGACTGCCAGCGTTTCGTCACACAGTGGAGTGCATCGCTGTTCAGCTCCCAGCCGGCCGTCTTTGCTCCTGTACAGACAGGGGGGCGGGCAGGACAAGCAGGTGGCAACTCCGAGACCTTCGCACCAGAATCCTTTCGCAGAGGTCGAACCTGCAACCGCCGCAAGCAAGCCATAGCAAGCCCATCACCAGCACAGACGAACAAAGCGCCGTAGTCATGGTAGCCAAAATGGAGGGCCTGCTGAGCCAACACCTCCTGAGTGGAGAGGGCGTCACCTGAAGGCTTTCCGCAAGGCCCCTGCAAGAAGCATCGGCAGCTGCGCCTAGACGCTCGCGAAGCCGAGCGATGTCCTCCAGCTCCATCTCCAGAGCCACATCCTTTGCTCTGGGCTTTCGGAGAACCATCGCAGTCCAAGCGGCGGAACAAGTCCCTGCTTGAGTGAGCTGAACTTCGCAGTCGTATGGCCGTCCAATAGTATGTCGCTTGGCCATTCATGATATCGGCATGATACGCCCAGTTCTGGCCACACTGTTAAAGCGGCAGAAAAGGGTGCTCTCTCTTCGACGATTAAGAGAGACTTTAAAGGAAGCTTTAAGGGAAAGCTTGAAGAAAGTTTTCCGAGAGGCTGAAAGAAGCTTCGAGGTTAATTTCAAGCCTCCTTAGAGTCCCGGTCCCGTGCCCTGGTGATGTCCAGCGTCTGTCCCGTCTAAGCACCTTCTCAAAGCTGCACACACTTTTGCCCTTGCTGGTTCCCCTTCAACGACTTGAACCTGCCGTAGCCCAGGCCTCCAAACCTGGTGTTCGAGAGTCTGCCGGACCAAGAGCTGTCGATATGCTACAGTACTGCATTATCGCTGCAGCAGCCTCGCCATCGTGGTTCCTGAGGAACTTCCGTCTCATCTTTAAAAAGCCGCCCTCCATCCGGCAAAAGGTTGAGAATGTGTGAATTTCCTGTGAAAAGCCCGTCGAATCCTCTGACGAGCCATGGCATGTGGTGGCTGGAGTGACATGTCTTCTTCAGCAGTCATCTGCACACGACAATACCCGCAGATCAAACAGCTGGCACCAGATCAAAGTGCAGATCTCATGTGGTAATTGCCCGTTCACATGCATTCACATGTCATAGAGCCAAGGCCCATGCAGAGGATTGCGTCTCGCCTGAGGAAAGGAGCGAGCTTCATGAAGGCTTCAGCATGCCACAACATCTCGTATGGGCCCCAAGCTCCAAGAATCAGCTCCGCTTCGATGTCCCTTCGAAAGCCCCCGGATTGTGAAATTTGCAGAATTAGCATGCCTTGCCAAGTTTCCGGTCACCTGCCCCAACTGCGCACTGCAGCCTTTTATCACCTTCATGTCCAATATACAAGTAACCACCGACCCTTTGCCAGTGGGTTTCGGCTAGACATCGCCGCGGACTGGAAGGATGTAACCTCGAGTGCGCTGCTGGCGAGAGAAATCTAGTAAGGCCCGTAACCGCATTTACAGACGGGGGAGGAAAAAGATACAAAATTTGGTGCGTGCTGCAGGTCAACTCCATAGGGAGTTAAAACACGGGGTCAAGATGTATACTTGGCCCAACTATATGCTTTGGACCATCCGCGCACCACTGCATGCTTCATGCATGCAAGGAATGCGGAAGAATCATCGCGAAGACCCACAAAGCATGAATGTTCCACCAAGACTTGAATGTGAAAGATCCCAGAGCAAAGTGTGAGTTCGTAGGCACTGATACATTTCATCTTGAGACAATCGAATGGGGACTGTGGAAGCAGAAACTTCCAAACACATCAAGGGGTCAGGAGCCCGGCGAACTTAGGGGTGGAGGGAGTCTCGGGCACACGTGGCTAGCTCCTGGACAAAGCCAAAGCTGAAGGACGAATATTCCAACCAAGACCCTTACACACTCACCAATACCCGAGTCTCAATACCACAATTCTCCGCGTGGGCTTCGCGATGATCAACTCGCCCTGCCTCTCTCTTGAAGGCAGTTCTGCCTAAAAATAGGGGGAGATGTGGAAGTTCGGGTGGCCATCATTTGCCTTGGCTTCCTCCAAAGCGGGACGAGTGGGTCAAACTGCCAAAACTCAGCTAAGGTCCCACGGCCTTCTGCCTCATCCTCGGAGGTCTCGTCTGAGAAGAACGGCTTAGCACGAGCAAGGGCAGCTCCGAAGGACCTTCACCGAGCCACGGACAACACAAAACGAAAACATGGAAAGGGTAGGGACAACGCACGAAGGGAAAGAGCAACGAACACGGCTTTTCTTGCCGGGCCCCGCTTCGGCGTCAGGGCGTCCACCCGCTGCGAGTGCGCCTGCGACAGGGATTCCACCTCTGACATGCTCTCACCGATCAGGATCTCTTGCGACATCTCAGTTTCCTAGGACTTGCAGCATGATGCAGCATGAAGAACGTGGTACCCCTGCCCTTCCTCTTACAGATGGTGAGCTAATTGAGGCAATTGAAGTTGAGCACCGGGGGATGTTAACGCAGAGGCAATTCTAGTCCGTACTGAGGCACAGAAAAAGCACGGGCGCTGGCTTGACTGCAGCAAGTGAGCGTGATTTTGGGTTGGCAGATAGATGGGCAGGGTGCAAATGGATTTCCCCTCGGAGTCCCCAGGCGCGAGGAATGCAACACTAGCGCGGGTGCCCGTGGATTTACTTGTAGCAGCAACAAGATAGGAACGACCCGCCCCGACAACACTTCTCCCTTGACGGCAATCAATTCTCGACTGCAGCGGATCTCATTCGTCGTCGTCGTCTTCGCCGCGCTCGGGGCTGTGGCGGTGGCGGTGGCGACGGTGACGGCGGCGGTGGGGGCGCGGGCGCGGGCGCGGTGGTGGCGGCTGCCGCGGCGGCTCGTCATGTGTAGCTGCTGCCGTCGTCGTCGCAGCCGCAGCAGCCACTGCAGCCGCATCAGCAGCAGTGTTGATGAACTAAACACGATACTGTTGGAGAACCCAAGCATTGTGGCGGCCTCCAGTCGTCACAGTGTGTTCGTGCACAAGTCTTCGGGTGGTCGCCGTCTTGTGCAACCATATCATGCTCACCATGCGCTCGGCCAGTAGGACACTCGGCTGATCTGCCCAGAGCGTTTCCTGCCTTGCGCTTCGCATCGAGCTCGAGCCCAGTTGCATCGCAACGGATGCCTTTACAGTCTCCGGCCAGGGCTGCTGTGACACTTCAACGACC